ATCATGTGGTTACATTGATAGCTGCACAGTAAAAATAACTGTGTAAATGTTTTCCAGCATGTAAGTACAGGATTTTCAAGTATTATTTCATGTAGTAAATAATTATTCTGTACACTTCAGCAGTCCAAGTCAGAGGTAATTTTTTTATCGGCCTGAGATATTATCTGGTTTAATAGAAAAATTTTCCATAGATATGAAATCACAAAATGTCACAATACAAAATTATATCACAGACTCACACAACACTAGGTGTGAAAAGGAAAGAAAAGGTCATCTCTTGCAGGTATTCTTCCTGGTTTATTTTCAGAGATGGTCTCAGGTTGCTTCTAGTAGCTTCAGCTTGGAAAGAGTGGGGAGGATCTTTCAGAATGGTTAGACGATTACCCAGACAGGGCTTCTTTGTCTATTGACATTACTCAATAACTGTTGTAATTTTGAACACTGGGTTCAAAGACTTTCAGAGTGAAATGGCAGCAGAACAATTTGCTCAAAGAGGTTTACCCTTTCCTCAGATCTTGAAATAAATAGTATAGCTTGCTTTTTAAGACAAAAGGTAGTTTAAACTGGAGCTGAATCCACAGTCCTGTCTTGGCCTCTATTCCCTTATGCACATTGCTCCATCCAAAATTTTATGGCTCAGAAAGCTCATCCTCAGCACAGCTTGTGGTTCAGGTGTCTGTGACTTCACAGGGTTAAGGATCAGCTTCTCCCAAGCAGAAACAAGGGCTGCACCTCTCAACTTGACAACCACTGGCGGGCTGGGAAAAACTTAATGATTTTCAGCTTGGAAGCTGAAGAGCATAGTAATGTGCAGTGTAGTCATATTTTAGCTACCTACTATGTACACTGCCCAGTAAATAACTGTGGTTACTAACAAGGTTGCATACAATTCTTCATGCCGAATTTGTGCACACACTAAAAGACAGCTGAATAAAATTGTCCTAATAGATAAAAGGTTACAGGGTCAGTCAGAAATGCATGTCATGTATAAATTTAGGAACATGAAAATAAGCCAGAAACTGGAGTCATTAAAAAAATTTCAGACTCCTTTTTGCCTTGTCCTCCAGAATGCTCCAGACAAAGCTGAACCCAAAGGGACCTCTCTCAGGATCTATCAGAGTAATGCATTTTGTCAATTCCTCATGCTGTCTAGAGGCAGTAAAGATTAAAACAATCTTTTCACAACCTTTTAAGAGACTGTCCTGCTGGGGACAGTTTGTCTTCAGACAATCTTGATTACAAGCAGGATCATTGTAATGTTTGCCTCAACAGTCGGAGAGACTGGCTGATGCTAGAACTGTCTTTGCTCTTCTTTGCTTTCCAAACCCACCTAAATGTCCCTCCAGAAGTGATCTTTACCAGAGTGAGAATTGAGAAAAACTTCTCTTTAGTCTTTCTTGCTGTTATCCAATTTCATAGGCACATAATCCAGAGAGGTGAGATAATGCAAAAACCTCTGTTGAACAACAGAAGTGCCCAGATTACAAGGCCGTAATCCAGAGAGAAGTTCCTAACCCTGCTCTCACATCAAATAATAGAAGGAATGGCCAAGTGTTGATTCACCATGTCCTTTGTTGTCAGCCTCAAGGATGGAAGGATGCCTACAGATGGAATGTCTGCACAAGGATGGAAGGATCACCCTTATATCCCTACAGAAATTTTTACGTGCTCAGAGAGAGACTGGGCAGGCGAGATGGGCAGAGTAGTCATGTGTTTTCACAGGGAAGAAACTTTAAAGAAACAGAAGTCATTTGACAGATAAAAATTCTGCTCCTAAATTATCAAACTAGTTCCTAAACTGGAATGATGTGCTTTATGAAATTATATTCTGATTCAACAGAGTTATTAAATATATGAGTAATCTTACTGCAGCCAATAATAGAGCAATATAGATTAAACTACCAGCAGTCAGCCAGAGCATTTGGAAGGTTAAGGGTAGATTGTGAGCAAGTTTTTTCTGGATTGGGCTTGTGCAGCAAGGCCCTCAGTTGTATGTCTAGCATATCCCATTTGCAAACCTACCCCTTAAGTACAGCAATATATAATACAGTATATTTCTTATTTTCTTTTTACTCACTATTGTGGTTTAACCCAGCCAGCAACCAAGGCCCACTCAGCCCCTCACTCACTCCTGCAGCAGCAGGATCAGGGAGCAAATCTGAAGGGCAAAAGGTAGAAAACTCATGGGCTGAGACAAAAAACAGTTCAATAGGGAAAGCAGAAACTGTGCACACAAGCAAAGCAAAACAGGGAATTAATCCACTGCTTCCCATGGGCAGGCAGGTGTCCAGGAGAGCAGGGCCCCATCACAGATAAGAGTTACTTGGGAAGACAGACCATCACTCCAAACATCCTCCTTTCCTTCTTCTTCCTCCCTTTATCCATTCTCAGCATGGCATAATGTGGTCTGGAATACCCCTGTGGTCACTTTGGGTCACCTATCCCTGATGTGTCTCCTCCCAACCTCCTGTGCACCCCCAACTTCCCTTGCCATGCGGCAGTAGGAAAAGCAGAAAAGGCCTTGGCTCCACAGTAAGCCCTGGTCAGCAGTAACAAAAACATCTCTGTTTTATTAACCCTGTGTTCAGCACAAATCCAAAAAATATCCCTGTGCTCCTGTACCAATACTGTGAAGAAAATTAACCAACCCCAGCCAAAACCAGCACAACTATTTTGTTGTACTGTTAAATAAACAGCCTTGAAACTTTTTGATTGCTAGTGACTCAGATTTTGAGTATAAGCACAACAAGACTGTCTGAAACATTCCTGGTTTATTTTTAAATCTTTGTAATGCCCAGCACTGGAAGCAGCTTTTAAATCACCTAGCCATTCAATGTCTTACAGGTGCTTTGAATGAAGGAGGAACATCTACTTATACCTCTGTGAACTGAGAAAATGCACTCAAATGTATGTGATGACATCCAGCCTTCAGTACCTATAAAATGTCTGTCAGAAGGCATGTGGATGCATATGCTTTGTTTTGGATCAGGGAATGATCATTTCAGGCATCTTTCAGGAGCACTGTCAGGACATCAAACACACTCACACTTCCCTTATTTTGTGAAGTCATGGTAAATCTGCCATTCTCCAATGCATTTGGATTAGTTGAATCCTGTCAATCTACACTGAGCTTTCACAGTGTTCTTATTTCTCTCCTATATATTTTTGGTTTTATTGGGAAAATCTCTGCCCTAGAGCAGGTTCCATGTATTGGTGAAAGAGATAAAAATTTGAAAATGCTTAACTTTGGTGTCTCAGAGACAGTTTAATTTTTTTTTATCTAATACATTTCAAACATGATTACATGATGTGGAAATGTAGTTAATGTTCAGTTTCCTTGTCAGAAGTGATTCAATGCCTAGAAGCATTTAGAAGCTTTGAAAGATTTAATTTAGTGTATATACAAGTACCCAAAAATGTGTTCTTGTGCATGCAGGAATTTTTATAGAAGTAAGTTTTATATTACCCAAAATGATCCAAAAATATCTTCATCATGACTTAGTGCATTGTGGAGTTATGAGAATTTTGCAAGGCAATTCAAAATTTTTCTAAATGTTGTCTGCCACTCAGTAATGACAAAAAGGTGTCTGTATCTTTCCATGACATTTGCCCAAGGGATTAGGGGAAAAAAAAGAAAAAAAGATCCGTGCTTTGATGCTGGCAAACTAGTTCTAGAGAGCTTATCACACACAAACCAATCAATTCCTCAAAGTGATTTTCTATATAAGAAAATCTGTTTTGTTGTTCTGGCAGAACAACAAAAGAATGGGATAAAATGAAGATTGTGTATTTTTATCTTCATACTTATCCACAGATAGATACTCTGGAACTAAATGGAGAAGCACTAAAGAAGAAAAGAAACTCTACAGTCTGTCTAGAAATGGTTTAAAGGGAATTCTTCCCTTTTATTAAAGAAACCCAACAACTTTAGAAGATCACCCGGATATACAGTATGGGAACAGGGCACAGGGACTCCTGCTTGCCTCTCCATGTACTCAAGCATTAACTGATCAGTCTAGGAGATTCATCCTATTTCAATGTGCCATTAATCATCAGCAACTTCTCCATACATGTCAAAGAAATGCATATCACTGCCAGCTGTGGTTTGTGCTCTTCTTAAGTTGGAACAAGAGAGCAGCATCATCCTTCCTTCATATACATCAACATGCTGCTATAAAATAAAGTGGATTTATATGGATGCAGGTCCCACATGAACTAGACAGGAATTATTTTGCATTCCAGTGCCTTTCCATACTGCTCCTAGTCATAGGCACATCAGACAGTTATGTCCTAAATCAGCAAATCCAATTTCCTGCTATCTCAGTCCCATCACTGTGCGTAATCCCTTTCATGATTAAGCTACTCTTGTTTAAAAGAACTCCTTGCTCTAAAATAGGGCAACTGCTCCTTCACAGCCCTCAGCACACAATCACTTGATTCTGCTGCTAAATAGATGAAAACATGTCTCTGATGCAGAATGTCTCCGGGAATGCAGACAGGAAACATGTTCACTGAAATAGCTCCTCAATCCAGTTCATGCCCATCAGGCGTTGCCACAGTCATGCACCAGTGTCGTCAGAAACCTGATGGAAGCCAAAAGCTTTCACAGAAGTCAAAAGCAGAAACAAGACTCACAAACCAGAATCCTCCAGAGTTGTTCCCTTAACCTGCAAACTGTCTGAGGACAAAAGCATGGAATAAGGCACAGACCCCACCTGGCAGTGAGGCCAGAGATCTGTAGTGGAGTCACCGGTGTTGCTGCTGCTACAGTGTGAGATTGTTGCTTTGTATGCTTCAAAAAGAGCTGCTGCCAGCAGTAGTTCGCCTATTGAGTGCTGCAGTAGTTTTCTCAGAACTCTCTAGTCCAGCTGGTTGAAAAATACTGAGATGTAGCCAATATTAATATTAGATTGAAAAAGAGATTAGGATCTTGTCATCCTTTTTGGCATTCAGAAAGCTAAATATCAAAACAAAATCTTAAAGGAACTCCAAATACTCAATCCCATTAAAAACTCGCTTTTATTAAGAGACCCAAATGAATACAAAAAGGTACAGATATTTTCCTTGAGTTTTAAGACTTTGTAAGTGTAGTTTCTAAAATATTGTTCTCAGTATTTTGAAGTTATATCAATGTCTTCTTCTTTAGTCTGCTCTGGACTTGCAGAGGTAAATTTCCAATTAGTGTTTTCTTTCTCTTTTTTTTTTGTTCCAGAAGCTGTACTGCATCATAGACATCACCTAATTTTATCAAATGCTTATAGGTCAGGGATCTGGCATGTGTCATTTTACCTCTGAGAGGATATTTCCAGTGAGCATAGTTTTCAGTGTATACTTAAGAATGGATTTTGAGATGATTCAAAAGCTTCAAGATAAATTACAAGTGAACATTAAAATGTGATTTGGCAAAAATACTGCATGTTTAGAGTGTTACAGTATGGTCATCAGCAGCTGTCCAAAGAGGTGGTCATCAGCTCTTCAGTGATGCAAGGTCAAGGAATATAGCATGAGCTATTTTTATAAATAAGATGGAACATAAATATTCTCTGACAAAGAGCTGTCAAGTCCTGCCTTCTATATGAACCCATAACTGGAGTGACTTTTTGTGGACATGGACAATAACAGGATAGCATTTCTCTTCATGAGGAGGAGAAGTAGTTCTGGTTACTCAGAACAAGGTGTCAGGATATCTGGATGTTGATCAAAGTTCTGCCTATCAGTCCCTATGTGATTCTGGTAGCACCATTTTATTTGTATTACATGCAAAATAATTGTGAAGTTCAATTCATGCTTGTGAATGCTCTGAAATCTTGAAATCTGCAGTAACATGCTGTTTTAATTCAGCTCATCTTTCTAGTATTTTAAATTGAAATAAAAGATTCTTTCATCAAGCAAATATAATATTTTTTGCATATCAAACACACAATGATTCCTGAATCCCAGTGTTAATTTGGGGGTTGGTCCTGTGCAGTGTGCTTTGGTCCTAATGCAATAAAATGTGCATGAGTCCATTTAAGCATGAACCTTATAGTGATTGCCCTTTTGCTTAAAGCAAGCATTTGCTCAAACGCAATGTGAATTGAAGCCGAAGCACTTAAAAAGCAGTGTATTTAAAACCTGTAAGCACTGTTACTTGTGAGGGACCTTCTCACTTGTAATCCATTGAAGCTGTTCTCATAGGGCAAATTCTGACCCTGACTTCAAAAAACATCTTCAGTTTTGGGGTGTTTCCCCACAGAAGCAAAGGAAGGAGGGAGTCCTCATTCACATTTCTAACTGTATCAGCTTGCATAATTAAAGATAATACTCTTCCCTTTAAAGGATCTTTTATGCAAATCACCATATTCATCATTAAGAAAAAACATGAGCTTGAGATTATAGCATCTAACTTTATTCCACATTCCGAAGCTTCCTGAATGCTTGCAAAACATTTCTTTCAGATGTGAAAACAAGTTTTAGGCTTCTGACAGTCATATTGGCTATGCACCAAACATGTTTTTTTAGTCTCCCTAGTCCAGGGCACATAAGAAATGTTTCGATATCCAGTGCAGATTTCAGGAGGAAAAAAATATACAGTGCATTTAAGCTTCCCTCTTTACAATGTTTACTAAATACAGTATAATACAAGTAATAATTGTGTAATAATTGTGCTGTGGAAAGTTCTACTGTAATGTAACGTGCACTTACAATCCAGAAGTAAAAATTTACTCATTTAAAATTATTTCACTCTCAAGGAACAAGCAGTTTTGGCCAGCTGGGTGCATGCTGGGTACGCAGCTGGTAGGGTAAGTTGTCTCTTCCACAGTCCATAAAACCCACTAAACAAAAGGAGAATGTTTGAATTCTACTTTTTGTAGGCTGGTTAGAATAGGCTGCATCACCTATTCTATAAGAAGGACGCTTTGAACATATTTTTGCATGCAATGAAAATCTCTAAATGTAAAAAAAATTATTAATGAATGAAAAAGCATAAATTTCTTTCTTTCTCTCTTTCTTCAGAGGACTCCTATTTTAAGTTTGTAGCCTGTGATCAGCCAAATGCAGTGTTACAATCTTATCAGCAAGTTCTGGGTGTGCTAGAACCGTAGTGTGCACAGTGAAATGCTCTGTAAACTCTGTAAATGGTTGCTCTTCTAGCAATGACATACATCTCTCCAGATGTGCTGCACACTAAAACAATGAAATCCAGTCAGTAAATAGTATGCAAAATAATTTGCCTTTAAAATAAGGAATACTTGTTGTTTACAGTAAGTATAGCTTGAAGCTCAATGTTTTTAGCATTATTTGTGAATGGGTGGATATTGGGCTGGAATACTGCAGATCAGAGATCAATGCCAGTGTTTCCCAAAGGATGTTGACCTCAGCAAAGGGATGCATGCTGCCAGTCTCCAAAAGCCTGGAAAATCTGGGAGATGTTAAGCATTTTGCCCATTCTCAAAAGCTGCTGAATCTTTGTCTCTCCCAGAAGAGAGACAAGAACTTGTTCTCCCTACAGAAGCCCCCTCAGAATCAGGAGTCCTGAGGCTGGTATTGCCCAAGCCTTTTAGAAACAATGGGCATATTTGCATTTGCAGTGTGGAGTGTGGCAGTTCCTCTACTTGTGGAAATTCTTCACCCTTAATTTGAAAAAATTTAACAGGAAACTCATACAATAAGACTTAATTTGGGTAAGACCCATTTGTCTCTGTTATTTCCAAATCCTGAACATTTGTCATATCACTGCAATTAGTCTCTACTAAGCCAGGGGTTAGCTTGACATGACACACATATAAAAGTCAAGAATACATGTAAGCCTCAACTAAATACTTCATCTTTATCTTCATATCCCAATTCATTATACAATCCCTGTATTCAGCCACAGATGTCTGAAATCTTGTTTTAGTGAAAGACAAGATTTCAATGAATAAAAGAAAGAATTAAACATTGGTACAATTTGAGAAAAAAACATTTGAAATAAGGAAATGACTAATCCCATAGGAAATCAGGAAACTTAATTAAAAAATAGTTGTCATTCATACTGCTTATCTGGATAGCCAGAGCTAGAAAAATGAAACACGAGGAGCTCTGCCCATACAGCCTCACTGGGTATTAAAACATGACTACCTGTTCTGCTGGCTGCTGACAGAAAAGTCTTTATAATTGTTATCATGCATTTAGTATGTTGTTCAAAACTTTGTTCATTAAGCTATATATACTTAACAATTTTTTTTCCCACACTGTGGGGAATTTGAAACAAGCATCCCTAATATGGATCTTTTCAGATCAGATCTTTGCAATCAACAGAACAGGATGTCTACAGTAGCCAGGACTGCATCCTCTATGAGGTCTGCATCTAAGGTTCCTCAGACTGAAGCTCTTCCGGGGTTATAGCAAGAAAGTGGGTAACAGGAGGTGCTCTGAAAATGTAACAAAAACATGTGAAATCAAAACTTCTTAAAACAAAAAAAGGAACAGTGAAATTTGCATTGATGTGCTGTGTATATCAGTAATCTCTAGTATTATCTGTTTCTTCAAGAAATTATTTTGTTTTTATGTGGCAGCATTTTTCCCTCTAAAATAAAGAGACAATAGCTGCAATTAAAGATACAACACTATAAATATGCAAGCATACAGCAGAGCAGTAAATAAAAGCCAGCAGGGCAAAGACAAGTGATCTCTCAGACGGTGGGATGCTGGGCTCCATGAAATCACTTCTACATGGCTCTTGGCAAAGTATGTCCCCTCTGCAGCTGCAGATAGAGACTTCTCAGAGATCTTCATCATGCACAGAAAATTGTTCAGATAATTGTGGTTCCACCTAAGATGTATATATGTGTTTGCAGGAGGCTGAAGCTCAGGATTCTGGGAAAGCTTTTATGATGGTTTCATAGGCGGGAGGTGGGGTTTGCGTGGAGTGGCAGATGCGGAGGTTGTTGTTAGACCAGTGGAATTCAGGTCGAGTCAAGCTGTTGGTGGTGCTTGCCACAAGGGTTGTGGTGGTGTTTGTGGGAGTGAGGGTGATCAGCTGACTGTTCGTCTCCACAGGCAGGGGAGGACACTGCAGAAAAGGGTGGAAGGTGGATGCGCGGAAGCTGGACTTCCTGGGGAAGGAGTTGGCCTGCTCCAAGGAGGCTTGCCGCTGGAAGGTGAGGCTGGCCAGGCTGAGGTTGCTCCGACGTTCACAGCTGCTGTTGCGGTAAAATCCAGTCCTGCTGGCAGTGTGGCCGTGGGAGGAGGGTCTGGATCGACGGCTGAAGGATGAGGGGCTCCCCTGGGAGATGTGGGCGCTAGCTCTGCGACGGGACAGGCAGGTGAAAAATGCCCAGATGATCCCTCCAATCACCAGCCCAATCACCATGGACACTGTGAAGGCTATTGTTATCTGCTCTGAAATACAGCAAAAATTAATCTCAAAGTTATTGAAGCAACTCTGAACAATATTCCTGCAAGGAAGTTAATTTAAAATGCCAGCCTCCTAAAAAGATGAAATGGCCCTTAGGTCTTGGTAACACATGAACTTCACAACACAAACACAACAGTTGAAGGTTCTTGTACCACACAGTATTTGGGTGTTTTGTGGGGTTTTGGGGTTTTTTTGGTGTTTTGTTTTGGTTTTGGGGGTTGTTTTGGTTTTTTTATTTGTTGCTTGTTTACTTTCCATAATTCAACAACATCCAGAAAATGAAAACAACGAAATCCAAAAACGCATATTTAATATCAGTTTCTGTACCAAGGCAAGGAAAGTCTTTAGCCTTTCCCAGAATCAGCCACTCACCAGTTCCAGGTGTTATAAAACTGCCAAGTATTTCCTTCTCTGGGCAATAGGAGGTGTGGATTTATTCAGACTTGTCCTTCTGGTTATAGACCTTTATGGTCTGTGTGTATGTGTTTGCAAACTCACCTATTAAAACAGTGATGTACCCTCTGCCATGCTCTTAGTGGAGTAAGCTCTGTATTTATTACAACATGAGAACACTTCCCAGCCTTTTACTGCTGAGCAACAGATAGTTTAAATCCTCACAGTAATTAATGTAAATGACTATATCCTAAATAATTTTGGTCAGAGATAACCATTTGTAATACTAAGTCTCTTGAATATTTCCTATCCCCAATGACCAATTTAAAGATGGATTAATCTGCCATTAAGAAAAGTCAATTTCTAGCTCTTTTAGAAATGTTTTTAAGGCCTACAAGATCTGAAAAAGAACAAACAGAAAAACAAAACCAATGGCTAGCATTTTTTTCTCTTGCACATGGTCTCACAGGATGGAGAGATGTGATTTTTCTTTGTATATTTCTAAGAAGAGGACAGTTACTTCAGAAAACTTCACTCGGTTTGCAACTGAGCACCAGCATTATTGCTGTTGTAAAAAGTCCAGAGATATACTTGTAATCCTGGATAAGGCCTGAAATAAATGCAAAACCTTTATAGATCCTCTCAAAATTCAAGAAGGGTTTGGATCTAAAACAAGAAGGAACACTATGTTGACAACTGGTGGAGCAAAGAGGGGATAAGCAAAAAAATATCCATGGGACACCTTGAAACATGTTTGTTCTGTCTGTACTGTTGTCTCATATTTGTGAAGCATTTTTGTGAGAAAGCAAAATGTGTTCATTAGATAGAGGAAGGTGAGTAACTCCTAGAGCATACTGAACAGCAGGCCCAATAACACTGTGCCAGACAGAAGGTATTAACTCCAGGACTGGGATGCACACATTAGAGGCCAGAAAATGCAAGCTGAGACTAGGCTCAGAATTTTCTAGCAGCCACTAAAGAGTTTCCTCTGAATTTATGGTGCTGTACAGTCATTTCCAAGCCCTATAATAATGACAGTGCATCTGAGTTGTGGGACTTGGCTAAAGCAGGTGCTGAAGATGCAAGGAGAATGAGCAGCCTGACTGATGGCTATGGAGAGCAGCCAGCACACCATGAAGAGGGAGGAGAGGTGCCAGGCAGGACTGATTTGCAGACAGAGGCACCTCAGTACTGGCACCCTGGAACAGATTGTTTTGTTTTAAGTCAGCCCTTAACTTAGGACAAGACACTTCAGGAAAGCGGAAAGAAGCATTATCTTTGCTTCCAGTAGAAGAAATGTACATGTTTATTAGTTAATTGCACTTTAAGAAGCAGTCATTATTATCTTCCTTATCTACCTTCTTACTCTTCTCCCTTCAGGGAAAAATTGCTTGTGCTGTGATTCATACTTGGAAGACTCACAATCCTACTGTTCCTGGCCTGTAACCTCTGCTTTCAGGTAGGCTTATAACATTATCCTTTTCAAATAAAGACTGGCAAGGATAATGCATTGGATATGGTTTCAGGGGGCTGCTCCCTCTCAGGAGAACTTTGGTGTCCTTTCCTTCCAAGACAGATCAGACTTGACTCTAAAAGACAAATTTTCTTTAAGCTCTAATTTCTACAACTCAAAAACTTTTGACTGGACACACTAAAGACAAAGGGTGACTGCCCTGTCTGCTTTCTACAAGAACCCACAAGCAGCATCCTGCACTGCAACTCTTGGCTTCATATCAGATCACTTATCAGCAGCCTTCTTCTCACAAGCTCAGTGTGATTCTGCCCTTTATAAAACATCTTTAGAGACACAGCAGGACTTACTGTGCCCCTTTTGGTCAGGAATAGCTGATTATGCCATTTTACTAGATTGAATACATTCTGTTACTGCAAGTTCCTACTCATACTCCCAAAGGTGGGAAGGGAGAGCCAGGACTTGGTGACCTCCAGTTGAATAAACCCCAGGGGGAGTCCTGAAGACAGCACTTCCCACGCACTACTGCCGTCCCTGCATGGCTATGGGAGCAAGAAATAATCCTTTCTTGTGCTCATTTCTTCTGCACTTCTGCTCAAATGCTAGTTGGTTGTACTTGAGGCTGCCAAGGAATCCCCCAGGCACAGGGCTCTGTGCTGCCAATGGATATCCCTGCAACTCTTTGGGGTCTCAGCTGGCAAAGGGGATCTCCACGGGGCTCAGCAGCCTCTAGCATAAGCAGAAGCACAGCAAGCAGCACAAGTGTACCTGGCTCTAGGGTTGCACCATGGTGAGGATTTGTCCCTGTATCCCTTGAGTCATGATTTGCACCACCTGCACAATCTAACCAGAGTCTCACACTGTTAAAAGCAGAGAAGGGAATTGACAAAAGTATTGAGTGCAGCTCTTCAGTCCTTCCCACGTGCTGTTCCCCTGTGCTGGAGGTACAGCACAGACAATTATCCCTTTGGATAATGGCGTCATTTTCTTTAACTTGGTTAGTTCTTTTATTTCTCTATCTCCATATATGATGGAAAAATCAAGGGTCAAATTATTCCCTGATGAAGCACAGCTGGGTTCACACTGACTATTTCAGTTGCCAGGACTCCATATGTTCTCTTTTCCATTTGGACCTACATTTAACCCCCTTGGTTCTTATTACAGAAATATCACTAGACCCATTGGTTACAGACATTTCATTTTTTCTCTTCCCAAAATCTCACTGACTTCAGTTGGAACAGTGGGTCACTATTGGGTGAAACTTGTTCTTTGCTTACTCCCTGCAGAGGATGAATTTCACAGAAATGTAAATCTGTTCTAAAACCTTATATTGTGGAATTGTAAATCTATGCCCATTGATTTCCTCTTTAGAATGTCCAACAATCACAGCCCTGAGGTACATTGGAGAAAATATTATCAAACAGAGAAAAAGATCAAAGACAGAGTGGGACTTGCTGCACCTGGGATTTTGAGTGGAACATCTGGCCTTCACCAAATTGTTTTTCTCTTCCTTAATCTGGGCAGTGCCAGAGCAGAGCTAGCCTCCGGGGGGAGTCAGGATGACACTGATACAAAGTGTCTCCCAAGGGGCCATTGTAATAACTTACAGTTTCCTGAGAGCTGTGCCTGTCATTCTGTCCTCTGCTTTTAAGGAAAACAGTAAAAAGAAAGATCTGGGGATAAGTTAGGGATGCTGCTAATAACAACAACTACCCAGGGCCCAGTCCCCTAAATATGTTTTTGATCTGGATGTTTTCAGGCTGCTCACACTGCCTGCTTTATTTGATTGTGCCACAACGGAAAAGATTTGATAACTCACCTCAGTCAATTCTCCACTCTCACCTGTAACACCAGCTGAGGTGAAGAACAAAGGCTTTTAACAACAATGCAGGACAGACTTTGAGGTACAAAGTCAGAAATGAAAGGCTAAGGTAAAAAAGCAATTGGATATCTTAGCCACTTTACTTTTCTATCTGTGGGACTTCCAAATGATGATACAAAAAAGGTTGGCATTTCAGAACCCACAGTAACACCCATAACTTCTTAATGTTACCCCCAGATCTGAACATTAAGTCAGCACATTTGTCAGCCCAACATCTATCTAGATCAGGCAATTTCTTCTGAAGTCTCTCTGTTTCCTCATCTCTAGTTTCTGCATGCAGTGTTATGGAAATGTGGTACTGCAGGTTTGTGCAGGGGATTATTGCATCTGCTGTGCAAAACCTTTTCTTGGTCATTGAAGCTTTCTTTAAAAATTTCATAACTTTCCATGAACTATATATATTAAGGGATAGCATATATCCTATCAAATTGATAACTCCTGGCAAGTGGTCATCTCTTGACAGAATCTACACTGGAGAAATTTAGACACAATTTAAACATCACATTAGTAACATGTGATGATAGACTGGCTGATAAGATGTTTTTCCTAGGACTGGGCCCTGAAAATTTTTTTCCCATCTGGCCTGGGCACCTGAAGCAGAATCAACCAAAGGTGGCTCATACCAATCAGTAAGTCTTGTCAGAAGTGTACTATGTTCTCTTCTTCCTCTCTTTGGGTTTACCTCACCGAAAAATAGCAACACAATCCCTACCTATTTCAGTCTCTGAAATACCCAAAATCTTCATAAAATAGATTTGATTTTTGTGACAGAGTCCCCTACTTCTATCATGTAGGCTTGCAGGATTCTTGCAGACATACCAGGGCAACTTTTACTTCTGTGAATTTCCTTTTCTTTCATTTTATGGACCACATGAGCCATCCCTTTGAATTCAAAACACATTTGTGTTGGGGATTCAATTTCCCATAGAATCTCTCTCTTGCCCTCAGCTCTGGCTGCAATGAGCTGCAATGAGCTGCAATAGGACTTTGTTCCTTGACCTCAGGAAATCCTTGGGAGCTGTATATTTCCTATACCATTATGGTAAGTTCCCCAAGGTGTAAAATTAAGGTGGACACAGGATCTTCCTTCCCCCATGCTCACAAATATATACTTTGGAAAACTTTACAGCTGGCCATAGTGAGAGAATAGTACCTTTCAAAATCATGTAAGCAGCCCCCCCAATGAGAGCATCTCAGAGCATGAACCAGGGTAGGGTGGAGGAAGATAGGAGAAAGTA